TGGTCTAGGGGAAGGTGTCCATGCCCATGGCAGGGGGTGGGGCTGGGTGGGCTTTGAGGTCCCTTCCCACCCAAACCCATCTGTGATTTCGACTACTGTCATTATTTCACTGCCCCTGCTAAGAAAAGCGAGCAAACGAACACGCTGAGATTTCCTTGAAGCTCTAAAGCTGACGGGGTGACAAACCAGGGCACAGCCCCAGCTGAAGATCCACCCAGCCACGGCCGCTCCATCTAATCGTGACCAATCAAAGGCGACGGGGGAGGCAGTTTTACAAAAGGACAGGTCAAAACCGAACTGTCCCCCAACCACGTCCCCTTCCTCTGCGCCCCCAGCGACCTGCCGCGCGGAACGTTTCAGAAATAACGTGAAAATAGGAATTAACCCTTTCGGTCTCAAAGCGAAAAGGTCCTCTGCTTGAGCCCCAGGGCACCGACGTTGCCTCGGTGCATTTTCCCTTCAGGGAGCGCTTCCTTGGCTCAGGCAGCGGAGTCGGCCATCCCGAGCCCGATCCCCCGACATTCAAGCGAGCGGCTTTGGCACAGCAGTAGGACAGCTCGGGAGGCAAAAGCCTGACTCACACCCCGGCTGTATCAATCCGTGTTTTATCAGAACAACACTCCCCTTGACAGGAATCGAGCTCCAACCTCTCTTCAGCAGCATCTTTCAGCTCCGGTCCCAGCACAGCCAACCTGTCCGCAAGAGAAACCGCAGGCGAGGTCTGCGAGACGTACACCCCAAACCCCAGAAGTAACACCGACCCTCATCTGCTCTGGAACAGCTCCTGGGCTGGGGGATGCTCACCAAAAAAAGCTTCTTGTGGGTTGTTTTTGATGGAGGGGAGAGGGAGGCAAAGAGAAGGCGCAAGGAGATGGTTGTTTACTTGTAAATAAAGCCGGATGCAAGCACTGTATCCAAAAAGTAAGTTAAAGGAGCAAATCGGGGAGTGTCTCAAGTTGGAAGGGACCCTTGGGGATCATCAAGTCCAACTCCCTGCTCCTAAAACCGCACCAGAGGCTCCCCTACCTCTGAGGGGTCGGTGCCACAGCACTTCCCTAGGAGCCTTCCCAGCGCCTGACCGCCCTCGGCAGAGAAGGGGGTGCAGGCCCCAAGTTCCACCGTTAAGAAAACGTTGGTGTTGCGGACACTGAAGGAGATTTTCACCCCAGTGTTGTTGTGAGGAGGAAATCAATGCAGATTTTTGTCATCACTCCATCACCAGGGCTCATCCAGGCGGGACTATCCCGTTACGCCTGACAGTAATCGGAGAGGCACGGAGGCGCACTCCTCCTCCTGCTGCTGGGAAAACCTGTCCCGCTTCCGTTCCCATTACTGCGCAGGAATAAAGGACCCCACTGTTAGCTGCACAGTTTAGGTCTGCATCTGAGGTCTGACACAGTGAAACTGCCTGAAAGGAAAGAAGGAAGGTATGGAGGTCTCTTCAGTGTTTACCTTGGCCAGGTAGAGCGGGGTCCTCGTTAAAAGCTCGTTAAAGGCATCATTCCGGTATCCCTGACGTGCCGGGACACTGCAGCCCCAGCCCTACACTTGATTCTTATGGGCTGACCATCATGTGAGCCCCGTTTCAGCTCTCTGCTCTTCCACAACTCGTCCTGACCCTCGGCCGAGCATCGCTTTGTCTCCAGTGGAAAACCAAAGAGGAGATTTCCTACTAAAAGGACAAATCCCAAACTTACTCCCATGCAAAATCAAAGTCTGCTTGTCTGCACGCAGAAGGGAGCAGGAGCAGAGTCTGCTGAGACCATTCAGTTTGCTCGCTGACCTGTTACCCCTGTCGCTCCCCTTCACCTGCTCGCACGGCCTTTGCAGCGTCCCAAGCCAAAACAGGGTCACCTCAACTCGCAGCTACGGGACTTCTCCCTCCGCCTGTCGCGCCGGCATCACCACGCTGCACGTTGTTTTGTCAGTGTGCAGGAAGCAGAAGGGAAAGCAGCTTACTCCTCGGAAACGGCAGCGGCTCTGCCGTGCTGACGGCAGGGAAAAACACCGGGCGAGCAAACCGCTGCCACTCGGGACGGTCGGAATCCCCGTTTCAGCCCCGTTTCTGCCATCGAGACAGCGCCCGGGCGGTACTCGGGAGCACCGCGCCTTCCCCCAACTCCAAGCTCACCCCTTTCTGGTGCGCACCACGGCTCAGCGCCGTTTCACGGGGCTATTCCCTCATCCCGAGTCCATTCCCTCTTCCCGAGTCCCTTGGGTTTTCAGGTGTTTAACAGAAATTTGCTTATTCCTTTACCTTCCACATTCTGTCCCGGCTAGTTCTTTAGCGCCCGACTAGGGGGTGCTCAGCTCCCACCACATCTACTCACGATCAGGACGGCGCGTGCTCGCTCAGCTGCCCTCACACCTAGCACTGACCGCCGGGACAAGGTAAAGACACCGTCGCCACGTGCCCTCCGCCGCTCCCTCCGAGCTTTAGGTCCTTTGAAAGCAGCAACGCTCTCCGAGGCTTCGAACAGAAGACAAGAGCAGGAGGTGAGTTTCACATTGACATTTTTATTAACGCCAACCGTCGGAAATTTATTGTGGGTTTGGGGTTTTTTTTTTTTCTTTTAAACAATAGCACAAAAATGTTTCAGGGAAGCAGTCTGACAGTTAGTCTGATGACCTTCTGAAATACAGTTAAGCCACACCAAATACGAATTTCCTGTTAAAGAAAAAAAATAAAATAGATGGAACTCCAACCTTTGCATTAGAGGGTGTTGTGTCTGGTTAGTAAACCACGCTGCTTCGCGAAGGGAACGATGGCACACAGCTGAGACTTCATCATCACGCCAGTCATCACTAAGTTAAGGCTTCTGAATCAAATGACCATCAACATCACAGAAAGGAACGAAGAAGCTAGTGTTTGCTACGGCCAGGAGGAGGTCGAACGAGCTGGATCTTTTAGACAAGTACCGGTGTCTGGAAGAGAAGAGCCCTGCCCTAACAGCGGCCAGGAGAGGCAGTCGCCTGGCAGGGGCCCCTCCTCTGCATGCAGTACGACTTAGTGAAGGAACAGAAAGAAATTGCGCGGATCTTTCTCTTATTTAATGTGGCTATGAAAGATGTTTCCTCACGATCCCGTCATCTCCAAGAAGGACATCAGCAAGTGGAACCAAGGAGAAAAACCGAAGAGCAACAGAACATTTTTTGTTTGCCGAGAGGTAACACAAAAGGGAGGGAAACCTACTATATCCTTGGATTGGGGGGGTGGGGGATTTGCAGGAACATCTCCCCACAACCTTGCGCTGAGGATGATGCACAGACTCTAGGTTATACCAGCCACCTGCCTTTCCGAGCGACCTGTTCCACACGAGGCATTAACCCATTCCTGCCCCAGACTCTCCACAAAATTCCACTGACCTCGAAACCACTGGTTTCCTTTTTTTTTAGGGGAGGAGGGGTGTAAAAAACAGAACATCTGTCAATAAGAGTGTCAGGAGGGGGGTGTTAAATATTTTAACCACTGACAAGGCTTGAGGAAGTTTCACAGTTTTGTTATGCTCTATTTTATTACTATCATATTTACAGATTTTTCTCTCTTTTCTTTTTGCTGAATTGCTGATAATTTTAATAGAATTTCAATCTGGAGTGTGAGCAGGAACCAGTTAACTACATTCATTGTCCAATCCCCATTGGTTTGAGAAAAAGGACTCCAAATTCTTGGCATATGAATCAGCTGTTGGGTAGCTCCTCCCTCTCCCCATGAGGCGGCAGCAGGACTGCAGCGGCGGCATGCACGGATTCACACCAGGGCCGGCGGGGCCTTGCGCTGCAGGAAATACTGGTGGATGTTCTCGGCGTCCCGCTTCAGCCAAGCCGCGTTCAGCAGAATATTTTCGCAGCACTGCTGGACAGTGCGTTCTGCCGATGGAGCTGGGTGGCTCTCAAAGAAGGCCTGTACAGAAAGCACACAACCATCCGTAAGGGCGTAAAGCGGCACAGACGAGTCGCCAAATCCCCTGGGTTATACAGAAACGCTTTGGTGAACTACAGAATCCCAGACTGGTTTGGGTTGAAGGGACCTTAAAGATCATCCAGTTCCAACCCCCCTGCCATGGGCAGGGACACCTTGCACTAGACCAGGTTGCTCCAAGCCTCATCCAGCCTGGCCTTGGACACTTCCAGGGATGGGGCATCCCTAATGCTCCTTGTCTGACTACAGCTCATCCTCCCACCCACATCCCAGACCCTGGAAAACTCGCTTGCCGAGTCTGCGAGCTGTGCAACCCCAAGTACAGAGTGGGAACAGCAACGTGCCTCCATTCCTCTGCGGAAGGAAAGCCGTGCTGCCCCGAACCGGCCCAACCACTGCCCCCCGTCCTGTCTTGTCCTTGCTGCCAGGGCCAGCAAGCAGCACTCAAGGAGATGGATTCCGTCTCTCAGGGGGAAGCAAGAAAAGAGCAGCGAGTCCAGTGTGTATTTCGGGATACTGGGAAGAACACATAACAGCAGCCCAAGGCCGTTTTGCAAAAGCATTTCTCTAGGTCTCAGATTCCTTAGCACTCCACCTAGGCCTCTTTCCAAGCTGCACAATGACCTCCGAGCACCAGCAGCACTTGAGTTTCGCTGAATATTCTTCACATTTCTTCCTCCAGAATCAACAATATCGATCCCCTGCAAACAGCTGAAGCCACTGCGCCAGAGGCTGCTGTGACTTTGCACTTTACGATCTGTTCAAGGGTGGAATAATCCGGCGGCGTGGCCGGGAGTCTCCCCCGTCTTCACGCCAGCAGGTCACCTCACGCTGCGAAGTGACAGTGAGACTCGGACACGGGAAGTACGCCAGCTCGAAGCCAGGTGTCCTGCCTCAGGAAGTTCTCCTGGAAAGTGGTTATGATTTACTTACGGATGACTGTTCCAGTAAATGTTTTGGAAAGCGTTCCTTATTAAAAAAAAATGAACTACAGTGCAAGATTTCTCTGTAAAACCACTTGTGCAGGTAACTCTTTTCTAAGAAGGGATCATTAGATGATAGAAAACGATAGACAGAGCTCGTGGCTCAGCATGTATTTGAAATAAGAAATTCTCCTGAGCGTTTTCCTAACGGGAAAATGATTAAGGACCATATCTTTTAGAATTATTTAAGTTTCTTCTTCCAAGAAGGAGTCCCTGTAAAAGTGTGGGCAAGGAGCAATTAACAAAACCTACAGGCATTTTTGACACGCTACCAAGACCAGCGGCTACGCTCCCAAATCCAAGGGCATGCTTGAGCCCGGCAATGAAATCCCATCGCCTCGAGCCACCGGCGTCACGGCAGATGCTGCAAACAACCCACCCGCCTTGTGTAAGGCCTCGCTCCTAGCAGACAGCACAACGCCCGCAGGAAGCTTGGACCTAGAGTACGGAATTTAGCCAATTCCTGCCGTGTTAGGGCTGCCAGGGAGTCCCTGGGTGCCAACGCAGCCAGCTGCAAGCGTGCCAGATCCGTCTGGGGAGGGACAGAGCGGTGGTGTGAGCCTCAGCTTCCTATGGAAGTTGTAACAAGTACGGATTTTGCCAGGATTCGCTCTAAAGGTTGTCTTTTGGGGCGTCTCAACACCACTGCCAGCCACATTGCGCTGGATTTTATGAAAAGTTGAAGCTAATGACATAGAAATGACTAGAAGCTGGATATTACTTTGTGAAAAAGCTAGTTTAAGACATTACAATACAATAACTCAAGCTAGAGCAGTGTGAGTCGGGGACTAGGGAACAGTCAAAATGGGCAGAGCCACAGTTCAAAAACCGCCCAGCGGGTGCCTACAGTCTAGAGCACGTGATGCTCATCGCAGACTTAGTTCATCGCTGAATTAATTAAAATTGCTTACCTTAACTTCTGCAGCCATTTTATCATTTGCAAATCCATCCACTGTTAGCTGAAGGGGAAAAAAAGTTTAAGAGGGTGAGCGTTTAGCATTTCAGAGGCAACAGCTTAGTCTTGGTCACGTATGTGAACAGGACTTGGCTCACGGCTGCACCTACCTTTATTAGTCTGGATATTAAGAATCCACCTTGGTATCGATTATAAAGTTCCTCCCAGTTGTCCCTTACAAATTTCCAAGCAGCTTTCCTCCCCTGCTTGCTGCCTCCAGCTACTCCACCAATAACAGATACCGTGTCCTGGGGACGTACCTCTTCCTGAAGATGGAAACGGAGACAAGTATTCAAGGCTGTCTCAGCAGCTGCAGCACGCTGGCTTTATGCATTTCTATGCTGAATCTGTCAACAACCGCTTTTTTCTCCCCCCAAAAAAGCCTTTAAGATAGACCTCAAATATTTAATTAAGACTCCACCTCCTACTCTAGCGCGTTCGAAGCGCACGGTGCTGTGTCAGCCAGCGCGCGGAATGCGCCTGTCGCTCTTGGGAGATAAAGAAGCAGCAACTTTCCCGGTAACTTACTGAAAGTGCAAAGGTGAGAACTTTTTGAATCAGTTCTGGTTGAGAGATGGCTCCAAGAACTCGTTCGATTCGGTTCTTCTCCTCCTGCATGTCTGCTTGCTTGTGAAGCTTCAAAAACGAAGTGAATAACGTTACTGCGAGGTACCAGAGGCCGAGTTCTTACCTGGCATTACTGAACTCGCTGCACGTGCTACGGCTGCTAGATCGGTCCTCCAGCCTAGTAAGTGACCAGTGGAACTTGCTCATGAATCATCTGGCAGCCATCTGCATTACGGACCTCGTTACACACATCAGCAGCGAGTACCATAGAATCCCAGAATGGTTTGGGTGGGGAGGGACCTCAAAGCCCACCCAGTCCCACCCCCTGCCATGGGCAGGGACACCTTCCACTAGACCAGGTTGCTCCAAGCCTCATCCAGCCTGGCCTTGGACACTTCCAGGGATGGGGCATCCACAGCTTCTCTGGGCAACCTGTCTCAGTGCCTCCCCACCCTCTGCGGGAAGAATTCCTTCCTAATATCCAACCTAAACCTCCCCACTTTCAATTTAAACCTGTTACCCCTTGTCCTGTCACTCCCTGCCCTTGGAAAAAGTCCCCCCCAGCTTCCTTGCAGCCCCCCAGGCACTGGAAGGTGCTCTAAGGTCTCCCCGGAGCTTCCCTTCTCCAGGCTGAACCCCCCAACTCCCCCAGCCTGTCCCCATGGCAGAGGGGCTCCAGCCCTCGGAGCGTCTTCACCACTGCTGTTATAAGGTCAAGTAGGACTGAGCCTCCAAGGAAGAAAAATAATCCTCCAGTGACAAACGCATCAATCCACTAGATGGCAATTCCACACTACGCCCGGACCATGGCACGCCCTCGTGCTCGCATCACGGGTGAGGGATCGCACGGAGCCTGTACGCAGATAAGTACATCCCCGAGGGCCTCCGTAGGGTGGAATATTTAGCTTTTCATTGCATAAGCTGGCAGCGTGAACAAGCGTGCACCCACCTTCAGCATAGTGTCTAAAGTTGTACTATCTCCATGCTTCAAAATAGTTACATACACCTAGGAGAGAGCACAAACAAGGCAGGCCCTTCAGAAATTGCACTTTGAGAAGCGCAACAACCAGTTTCTACATATTCGGGTTCAATTTCAGACAAGCAAACCAATCGAGAAGATACCAGCACCGATCCCTCTTATGTTTAGGACTGGATTTTAAGGATACATCAACTCCTTTACCTCTTCCTCAGTTTCAGCATAATTTTGGCAATCTCAACCGCAGCAAAACACCAGAACAAGGGATCTTTGTACCCCACCCTGGCTCGTACTTCACGTACGCTGCATCCACACGCGCCACGGTCAGGCTCTGCGCCCTGCAACGCCGAGCTGACGCCTGCAGAGCTCTCCCACCGGCCCTGCAGTTCACCACAGTGCTTTTAAACCTGCAGGCTGCTCACGGATGGATCAACTCCGCTCAGGTTCGGCACTGCACTTGAATAGTCTTCAAACCCCCAAAACCACCACTGTCTAGAGACCAGAGTTGTACCGTGGCAGTTAATGTGGGTACAGCTGAGCTTATCAGTCATCATTATCGGCCACAACAGATGAAGCTTACTTGATTCAAGAAACACAGGGGTGTTTGTACCATGCTCCCCAGTATAATTTTCTTCCTAACTGGACTTATCCAAGCTCCCACCACATCTGCCAAAACCAGTTGTTCTCAAACCTTGACACTGGTTTCCTCTAGCCTCCCTATTCTTGGAAATAAAAGAGTTCAGTGCACACAGTGCTGAGTGAGAGGGGACACTCTTTTGGGAACCAAAATTTACAGTAACCTACAGGACTCCTCAGATCAGCCGACAGAATATGTTTTCCTTCCACATGGTCCTTAAATCGACGTCGGGCTTCTTCTAATGTTGCCTTGTGCCCAGCTTTTCCTAGTTTTCCCAAGACCAGACCTCTCAGGAGGGCATCTAGGTGACCTAATGAGTGAGCAGGAGGGGAAAAAAAAAATATTTGGAGACACAATTCAGCAATTAAGTGTTCTTCTAGCTAGAGCGATCAGGGCAGAGCTGTGTAACAACCCTTCCACACACTTGCGGATATCTCAAGAAATTAGGCCTTTTCTCACAATCCTTGGTGCCAACTGGAGAATACATTAAATTTTTTTTAGGGCAGAAGGGCCAGGAGAAGATGATTCCAGCCCAAATACAACAGGCTAGGCCTGTAACCTGAGCAGAGTCAGTAATATTCACCACTTGCTTCTACAACAGGTCTGACTAGGGCAGGTAAACATGCACGTACGTGGCTTTCCATCCGTAGCCTACTATGTTCCGTGCACTCCAACAGATGCAAAGCTAGAGCAGAGAATTTCTCTCAGTCACTGACCAGGTAGGGAAAAGCTTTGCCATTTTAACTTGTGCTTGATAACAGAGGGTTGTTCTGGGGGTTTGTGTCTGGTTTGATGTATAAAAATACCCCTGATTGCCTACTTCAGACCCCTCTTCCTCCCTTCTCTCCCAAAATCCCCATGGCTTGGTTTACACACGAGTTTCTCCAAAGCCACACCGGATTTCACAGCAGAAGTCTCCTACCCTCTCCAGGTTTGGGGTCCCATCCCAGTCTCTCGCCTATTGGGGAAAAGACGTCTTTCACAAACACCTGGATTTCGTCATAGAAGTCTGTGTGGGACAAGAGAGTTGAGAGGATCCCCAGGTTACAGCTGAGGTCGCTCCACACAGTATAATTGGGCTCATTCACAAAAGCTTCCATGACTTTTAGAACCTCTACAGTGCTAATGATTCCAGCTCGGGCCTGGGAAAGGGGAAAAAAAACCACAGATTAACCTTACTTCCCAACAGAAGTAAAGACATTTAACAGCTCACCGCGTTATTTTTACAGTCGTCCCCATTCCGTTTGGACATAAACTCTGTTTTCCCTGCTGTGGGGTGCTGGCAGGGGGAGTTAACACGAGTCAGAGCACCGCAGCTGCCTGCTGAGGGCACACGCTGCGTTTTACACGCAGGTAAGCCCTTCACCAGGAGGCAGCTGCCTAACTATAAGCACATTCCGAGAGTGAGAAAGAAGGAGATTAAGCGGCTTAACAAAACTGCAGCAATGCTGGCAAGAAAAAGCAAACCCCCGGAGTCATTCTCAGCCAGATACTACACCCACCAAAATCTTATTTTAACTGAAAACTGTAAAGATTCGGAGATTTCACTAAATAGAGAGTTTTTGCTTCCTGCTTCCCATGAATTAGTAGAAGTCCTGCCTTTCCACCTCTGCCAGGAAAGCTTTAGATTGACTGCTTCACGGCGTCAGGAAAACACTTCCGTGCTCAGCGCAGTCAGTAATACCTACACTAGGTATCTCCACCCAGACTGCTCAGGTTTTTGTTAATCTGGAACCAGACCAGTAATTTATGGTACTGGAAAAGAAGTGACAATCAATTTTTATTATCTAAGCTACAGTCACTAACGATAAAAACATGATTAACGCTGAAATCGAAACAGGAGTGTACACACACGCAGGACTATCGTCTATTTGCTCAACAGTTTGGTCCTGTTAGTCTTGTAATATTTGGGAAATTGCTCAGGCTACAATTTCAAAGCCCTTCAACGAAGCCATGAGAAGAGTTATAGGCTTGAAGCCAGAGAGGCAGGGTATCAAACCCTCATTTTTACACGTTTTCATATACTCGATTAGCAAGAATAACAAAGTGCAATCTGAAATACAGAGTACAGTAACTAATTTAATAATAAACTGAGTAGTATTTGATAAAGTCATTGAGGAGATCATTACAATATCCTTATTTTGATGAGTTAAAAGAAAGCAAGTTCTCAAAACACTTAACTGTGTAAAAAAAACCTACAGTACACCACACCCCTACAGAGAAGAGTGCAACAGGCGTTACAGACAGACTGCTTCCATAGGGTTTAAGGCCTGTAATACAAGTTACAATTCGTCACGCTAATTAATGTATAGAATAATTAATGTATAGATGTATAGAATTACAGAACGGTTTAAGTGGGAAGGGACCTTAAAGCCCACCCAGTCCCACCCCCTGCCATGGGCAGGGACACCTTCCACTAGACCAGGTTGCTCCAAGCCTCATCCAGCCTGGCCTTGGGCACTCCCAGGGCTGGGGCATCCACAGCTTCTCTGGGAACCTGTCCCAGTGCTCCCACCCTCTGTGGGAAGAATTCCTGCCTGATGTCCCATCTCAGTCTCCCTGAGTTTAAACCCGTCACCCCTTGTCCTGTCACTCCCTGCCCTTGGGAAGTGTACAGTGATCCCAAAGGCACTCTGCCTCCAGGAACGGAGACTGACCCTTCAGGCTGCATTGCTGCAGTTACTGCAGCCTTTGTTACAGACCGAACAGCGCAGGCTTGCTTACCAGAGAGAAAAGATCGTTCTGCAGGCCAAGCCTGTCCACAGGGGGTAGGGAGAGGTCCTTGATTGCTGGTATTAAGCTCTCCAGCATGTCAGGGCTATACTGAGTACGGTAAAACCCTACCGTTCCAAGGTTCAACTGAAATGTACCAAAAGGGTAAAAAAATTAAGGAACAAATAAGGAAATGCTTTTTTATTTTTGAACTTCTAAAAAGCTCTCAAAGCGTCACAGCCCGGAGAAGTCACTAGCTTTTAAATAAAAAGAAAAACCAAGTCATAAGTGAGGGAGGAGGATTTAGGATTAAAGAAGAAATACTCAGGCTCAGAAGACGAGAGCGAGCCGACACGGCTAGAGCTGAAACTAGGAGCGTGAGAAAAGAGAAGCTTCTCTTCTAGGGGTAACTCCTAACTGAAGTAAGGGTAGCCATGCTCTGGGAAGATAAAATGCAGGAGACTGCAGGTGCTAGGTCTTGTCTAACCTCCCTCCCACAGCCTGCTCCATTGGATTTTGGCAGAGAACCATTTTCTTGGGAAAGGAGGGCAAGCCCCCTGCCCGGTGTAACAGCAAGTCACGGTCAGGAAGCCTGAAGCGCACTGGCTACACACTGCTACCTACTCGTGTGTAGGGTAGGTGGTCAGAGACTGTGGTTGGTCGGACAGTACGTGGCATAAACACAGGGAGTCCCCTCATCGCTGCTGCTCTGGCTCTGGTCAGCCCAACCGTCAGTGCTCAGGACCACAGCACCGACTGAAAACCTCCCAGCCTGTGCAGCCAGCAAATTCACCACAGACCGAGCTGGATTGTTGCCTTCTCAGGCACAAATCCCAAACCTGACCCTCACTCAGACTGGGTGCTTTCAGAGCTGTTCATTTGTTTCGTGCCCCTCTCTATTACCTCGAGGACCCAGACAGACGTGGCGATTGAAGGGAACATGCAGGCCTGACAGCTGGGATGCCCGTGTTACTTAAAAAGGAAGGTTTGAACAATGATTTTTTTAAAAAAAAGAGACTAACCCTTAATGTTATTTCATGCAGCCACCTCTCAGAGCAGTTCCAGCTTAGAAACAATTACTCTGCAACCTCAGCACAGCAACAGTCCCAGCCAGTTGCTGCCTTCCAGTGTTTAAAGTCAGTTTGACTGGTGTCTGCAGGAGGCCGCAACAGTGAATTTTTTCACTTGCAGATTGGTACTTGTCTGGCAATAGCCAGTAGAAAACCTTCACACTAATGAAGGATAAACGGGACTGTTCTTGCTCAGGATGGACTAAGCTGCAGTTGCCATTGGATACCAAAAAAGCCAACACATTCCAACTCAAAAGCTGCCTCTAATCGCACACTTTTTCTGGGCTCGGACTCCTAAAAGGTTCAAGTTTGCATTGTCTAGACCACATGAAGCAAAGTTATAGAGAGGAGCTGATACTCAACAGCAGCACAGAGCCCCCTCCATAAGAAATACAAGATTGCAAAGGGGGAAAAAAACCAAAAACCCAAGAGAAGAGGAAAATGAAATGCAAGGGAACACTCCAGTGACAATCAAACTTATTCCCAGTAATATGTTCCCCTCTGTGACAACTCACCTTCACCCACTGATCGGGTTTGATGTCTTTCAAAACCAAGGTGAGCTCTGGTTTGTCCATCAGTATTTGCATTTTGGCACAGGTGGGGTCATCACTTGTACAAATACTTATGGGGACCATCCACATGGGGAAATCCTCTCCTAAAACAAGAAACAATAAAAAGGCCTCAGGAAAAAAAGAAATTATGCAGACAACATTGAGAAACTCTGCCTGACATTCAAAAAAATTTCAGCAGCAGTCTGAGCATGCCTACTTCCATTTATATCTAAAAAGGCACAAGGCAAACGGCAGTTCTACAGTTAAAAACCAAGAGTCTGTAAATCACCTTTCAAGCCAAACGTTTCAGTTTCCATAAGCATGGAAAGTGGGTGGAATCTGTGTCTTAAGACAGAGCTGGCTTCCCTACGAGGCATTTTTATTTCAGCACTACTGTAAACCCAGCAGCCTGCAGAGCCCCTCAGCAGCACTGGCCTTCAGCGGGACATCAGAAGGAAAGCATCAGAATGAACCGACCCAAAGAATGCAGAGGAATGCTGTTCCCCATGCAAGGACATGGAAACCACGGTGTGACAGCACACAACCTTAGATTTTCATAGGTCATGGACTGGTTTGGGTGGGAAGGAACCTTAAAGCCCACCCAGTCCCACCCCCTGCCCTGGGCAGGGACACCTTCCACTAGACCAGGTTGCTCCAAGCCTCATCCAGCCTGGCCTTGGACACTCCCAGGGATCTGGGCATGCACAGCTTCTCTGGGCAACCTGTCCCAGTGCTCCCACCCTCTCCAGGAAGAATTTCTTCCTGATGTCTCATCTCAATCTCCCTCTTTCTGTTTAAACCCGTCACCCCTTGTCCTGTCACCCCTCACCCTTGGGAAAAGTCCCCCCTCAGATTTCTTGTAGCCCCCCAGGCACTGGAAGGGGCTCTAAGGTCTCCCCGGAGCTTCCCTTCTCCAGGGTGACCCCCCCAACTCTCCCAGCCTGTCCCCATAGGAGAGGTGAAAAGTTCTTCCCCGAAGTTCTAACAAATAGCAAAACCCCTGAATCCAGGAACACCTGCACCCTCTGCAGAGCGGCTGTTTGATCACAAAACTGCTGCCATTGCATGAAAAGCAACGAACACCCCACTCCTGCTCTTAGCACCCTTAGCACTCATCTTACCAGTATACGGTCCACTGGCACAGAATTTCTTCTGCACTAACTTCAGCACTTTGTCATCTTCTTGCTGAGGAAGACAATAAAAGAAAGAGGGGAAAAAGAGAGGACTTATCAGAACGTCCCATCTCAGCTTCTGTGTATCACAATACATTCACGTGCTCTCTGTAAACAGAGTAACTCGTATTCTCCTCCAGAAAAAGGAGCTTCCTCAAAACTCACCCCCATGCACCCATCACTGTTACTGTAAAAACACACGTGCCCTATTTCTCATTTGAATCTGTTGTCTGACTTCAGCTTCCAGCCAGAAATCCTCACTCACCCTGCAATCTTGCCGAGTGAGCATAATTAAAGTGGAGTGGGAAGCAGAGCGGGTGGCAGGGAGAGCAGGGGACTCCCTCCCCCCAGCACACGCTACCCACACAAAGAGCGAACGCGCCACGTCAGCAAACTGCAAGCACATGATGTGGGGCACTTGTGGAATGACTCCGCGTCCCTGGACACAGATTTGTCACTAAACAAAGCACCGTACCGCCTCCTGATCCAAGAGGATTTTTGAAATAACTGGTTACTACTACATCTGATTCTAAAAGACAGTTCAAGGCAGAACTTTTGACCCAAAGCGCTGAAAAACGCACACTGAAAAACACACAGTTCTACTTACCTGTTCAGCTTTCACATAAATGAGTGGAAATCCCATCTGTTTGGTCCATGTATTCATCACAGCAGCAATAGGTTTACCACTGGCTTTTTCCAGGCTTTCCCAGAGGTCCTCTGCAGAAGAAAAGTCTGGCTAAGGATTCCCAGAGCCCTGACACACCACACGCAGCTAAGGATGCTGTACGGGCACAGGGGGGTGGGAGCTGTTTGCTGACTCCAGTTTGCCCTTTGTGTTTTGGGTTCTGTTTTTATCAAAGTGCAATGGATGCTAGGCCATAAAAAGGAAATAGTTTAAACCACTCATGGGGCGGAGAGGGAAGGAGAAAGCTTCTTTACCACTAAAACGATTGCAATCAATACACACTGTGACAAGGTCTAATAAATATGAGTATTAAATATTCAGAATGGTAAACAGAAGAATCTTCTCCTTGGTATTTTCATATATTAGGGCAACAAGAGCTGACCGAACAACTCAGGCTGTTTACGGCTGAGAGAGGATGATGTTCCACGTCCACATTCACTCCTGATGCACAAAAGAAGATTTCAGTAAAGAGAGCGCTGTGAGAGATTGGACAAGACTGAGCTGTTGAATCACACATGCAGAAGGCAGCTTGCCAAAGGCTTACATGGCAAAGCAACATAGGCCATTCCTAAGGCAGATCGCTACACGGACACGGTTATCCATGGAAAATGCAGCCCTTGCAGGTTGCCTCAGCCGCCTACTCCCGAGACAGAGAACCCCTGAGGAGCCTGAACTCTGGCTGAGCAGGGGACACGCTGCATGGAACCAGAAACCAGCTATGTGCTTGCGTTTCAGTCATCTCAGGTGGAAAAAGTTTTAAGAATCCAGCACTTTAGCACTGAACATTTTGCCAACAGAAATCACTTCCCCTAAGCAGGGAACCGCCCCCATTACCTGTAGCGGCATTCTTCTGCTGGAACTTCGTTAAATACAAATTCATTCCTTTCCGGAAGTCCTGGGAACACACAATTGAATACGTAATGGCACCAGAACGGAGGGTTCCTTTCTATCCCCCCTCTGTACTGCATTTCTAGTCAAGGATCAGCCAAGGAATGTTCAGATCACTATGTCCTTTCATATTTTCCCTCTACCTTATTTGTCCTAGGTAAGTTCAAACAGAGCCCAAATACAAATTGGAGAAAAGTGCTCAAAATACAGGACACAGATTTATTTTTTACACAGTGTTTTTAACTGTAAAAAGATTTGACCATCTACATTAGGCTTTTGACAACGATTACCTCATCACCAATGTAGTCATGCAGCATCCGGATTACAGAGGCTCCCTTGCTGTAAGAAATTGCATCGAAGATTTCATCTACTTCAGACGGGTGGCCAACACTAACCTGTGGTAAACAGGATAATTAACAGTAAGAACAATTTTAACTGCCATAAAAGATTTTGATTTTGCTCATTCTAGCGTTTAAGGAGCCGGTATTTCTCAGTGGAGAAAGCACATGCATACCCACCACTAAACTGTCTTAGCTTGGGGGGCCTACAAGGAAGCTGGGGGGACTTTTTACAGGGGCCTGTAGTGACAGGACAAGGGGTAACGGGTTTAAATTGAAAGTGGGGAGGGTTAGATTAGATATCAGGAAGGAATTCTTCCCAGAGAGGGTGGGGAGGCACTGGGACAAGTTCCCAGAGAAGCTGTGGATGCCTCATCCCTGGGAGTGTCCAAGGCCAGGCTGGATGAGGCTTGGAGCAACCTGGTCTGCCCATGGCAGGGGGTTGGAACTGGATGATCTTTAAGGTCCCTTCCCACACAAACAATTCTATGAATCCCCTCACCCCGTCAATTAAACTTATTCTCATAAGGCTGGGTTATACATCAGCCTTAAGATTCTCCTTTGCATCATGAATGACTC